TTCAAGACCAGCCTGGCCAATATGGTGAAACCCTATCTCTACTAAAAATATAAAAATTAGCCAGACATGGTGGCGCGCATCTGTATTCCCAGCTACTTGGGAGGCTGAGGCAGGACAATTGCTTGAACCCGAGAGGCAGAAGTTACAGCAAGTCAGGATCATGCCACTGCACTCCAGCCTGGGTGACAGAATGAGACTTCATCTCAAAACAAAAAAAGAAAAAAGAAAGAAACTAAAAGAAAAGAAAAAAAGAAATAGCAGTTCCCTCAAAGTAAAAGGTGAAACAACAAGAGTCCCTCCTGATAAGAGTCTTTCTGTCTTTCTGTACCTCCCCCCAGTTCCTCAAACTCCCTTTCCTCCATATTTGTAGGTGGTTACAATGTTGTGAGGAAGGTGTGATTTACAGGAAAATACAAATTTATTTGCATAAGTTCCTCGCTGAGTCAGGCTGGGCTAGAAGATTAACTTCTATGACAAGTGAAAGTTCCTAAGAGCCTGCTTCTACTCTCTAGAGGGAAAATTGAGGGAAATCTATGGAGAAGTGTGAGCAGTACAAGCTTCAGCAGACAAAGCTTCAGCAGATAAAGATGGAAATGCAATTTCTGTAGAGTACCCTCATCAGGGGAAAGTGGTGCATGTAACGCCTCCCCAGGATATGAAGGACCAAGGGAGGTTTGTTTTGTTTTGTTTTTGGAGGCCCGTCTGTGTAAGTTATTTGATCCATCCAATATCAACATATCAAGCACCCTTCTCACTGTCCAGCATGTCATCCTCAGGAATAAATACAGAACCAGCAATGGCAAAGATCTGCTCACCAGTCCAACACACCTCAACCAGGACAACCTACATGCATGATGAGTTCCTAAGCTCCTCCTCCTAAAGGAATCTGGTTCACCACCCAGGTGACAGGGGATTAGAGAACACCCCAAAGGGGAGAAACAAGGACTAAGCCCCCCTGGATGGCACTGCCAGACCAAGCCCTTCTCAAGCACCAAAAGAATACTTGAGACATTCCAAGGAAGACTCTCCAAAGTATAGGGTCACCTGAGGCCCAGAGCCCAAAGCAGAGGCCCTGTCTGCTCAGCTCTGGGCATTTCTGAGAAAGGCATTATAAAGGCATTTCCACAGGATAGGGAGCTGGTCATTTCACAAGCCCAAGACTGGGTCAGAATGCAAGACCTTCCTCCCACACTACGTCATTCTTGTTGGCACAGGCTGTCAGCAACTTGAGGTCCCCAAGCAACATTTCTCCAGCACTTAACATTGAGACAGGCACATAGAATGTTGTCAAATAAAAGTCCTAATTCAAGGCATGTTTGTTTTGTAATATGCGGAAAAGTGTCTTGGAGTAATAAATGGTGCCTTGAAGTTAGGGTAGAAGGCTTGGTTCGGCCTCTCTGGGTTTCAGTGACCTCATTTTAAGATGAAGGAGATGCTAAGAAGGTCCCTTAAGACCTTCAAACTTTAGATCCTACAACTTGAATGTCTATGGCTTGCCCTAATCTGGAAGAGCTCAGTGGCTTCTTAAGAAGATGACAGGGCTTTAACCCTATAAATCTAGTTGCCAAGGCTTAATTCATGTAGGAAACTATTCATTCCCCATCAGCTACATGCTTGGAGTCAGGTTGCAGATGCAATAACCACTCTGTTAGTAAGTTGAGCTCATGGTGCACGCCCCCAATATCAGCACTTGTGAGGCTAGGGTAGAATTTTTTTGCTCCTGTTCCAAGGTATTTGAATTAGAGTGCTCTGGAGACAAGGAACAAGCAGAAAGTGCTGAGACATAGAGTGAAGCCCCACTGTGAGACCATGCCCTGGAGACCACAGACTCTAATGTTTAATGTAGAGTCACAAAGCCCTCAGTTGGGGCTGGGAGGGAATGAAAACCCAGGGGGAATTCAGTAACTATTTTAAGAAGCAGAAAAAAATCACTGTTTCTTGTAACTTGGATTCTCATTGCCTCAGTGAAAAGTAACTGAGTCACCCAATCACTCATGATCTCATGGAATCCATTAGCTCTAGCTGAGTCTCACTCATCTATCAGCTACTATGATCAGATAAAGTGGAATGGTGTGATGGTTGGAGAAAGCCCAGAAGACCTGGCTTTGGGCAAAGGCAGTGAGTGATTTGGGGGCAGGGAGAGGAGAAGCAGGATATTTTTTCTAGCTCATAAATTGAAGATGAAATCACCAGAAAGGGCTGCCAATAAAGCGATGCCCAGTAATCCTGCACTCAGGCAGAATTCTAAGGCCAGAGAGGCCCTGGAAGATTGGTCCTTTGAAGGGAGAATATCACCTAACACTATTCCAAGCACAAGGAGTTACTAGGACAGCCAACAGGAGACTAAGGTGAAGAATTTGCTTATGAAGCTGGCTTGAAGACCAAACATATCCATCTCCTCCCGTTGCCAAGGTGTTTAAGCCCAGGTACTCTGACCTCCACAATCTCATAGCATGAGACTGACCCTGAAGGTGAAGAGATGTATCATAGCATGACCTTCCTGCTGAAAACCTGGGAGGGCATTAAGAAGGTGGGGATATTAAAGATGTTATCCTCTGTGAGGGTGAGACCAGTGTGGTCTTGAGCAACACACTTTCTGACTTCCTGTGTCCTTGGGGTAGCTCCAGAGAAAGTGAAGGTGAGGGGTGAGGGAGCCATCCCAGCCTATGGGCAGCCCCGAGTCCTCTTTCTCGAAGTGTGGAGCAATGGTCAGAGAATACAATGGGCTTCAAGACCTGGCCTCTGCTAGGAAGATCCAACCCATTTCCAATTGCCTATGATATTTATGAAGCAAGGCAAGCCAGCAGAGTCTAAAATCCTGGGAGACACACTGATGATAACATCTGATAACCCAGCTTCAAAGGTTAGGTTCAATATTACACTGTGAGAATACAACAGGATCAGAGGGGATGTGGCTGTGCTTTGGAAAAGGTCAAGTGTGTGGCCAGTGGAAGTGGTCCTTATCATTATCAAAACCCTCAGGCCTGTCCTGGGAATGAGGGCACAAAGGGACAGCCTCCAGAAGAAAGTGTTGAGACATGGAGTAATCAGAAGCTTTCCTAAGGTCACAAGATGAGTCAGTTGCAGACAAGTCATCTGTCTTTGCCTCAATAAATTTCCCTACTTAGTGAGTCTGGACAGCTCAAAGACAGCTTTAGTGCAGATAAACAAGCTTGTCCACAGTGGAACAAACGAGCGAGAGGTAGCACACTCTGGCCCAGTGTCATTTCCTCCTCCCTACTTCTATAAAAAGCACCCCCAGAAATGTTTAAGCCCCAGCTGAGTTCACTAACAGACCAAACACTGGAAGCCTATTTCAAATAGATGGCAAAGTTTTAATGTGAATGCTGTCCCCACACGCCCCTCCAATTCAGATCTTTCCCTTCCCCAATCTCTGTCGGTTCCCCCAGACAACTCTAAATAATAGAAAAGACTCTGAACTTTTTTCTTCCCTCCAGTGAGAGTAACTCTGCTCCCTTTCAAGCCAGTAGCTGCTGCTTCGCAGTCTCTCAGAGTGAGTTCTCTCCCAGAAGTCACCTCACTCCCTCATGCAGTAGAGCCCTTGGGAGGTGTGCCAACTGATGTTTCACACATGTTTGGATGGGGCAGAACCCCGCATGTACAGCCAGCCTGCAATCGGGGGAAAAAGGTAACAAATATGAAGTGCCTAGCATAGCACCTACTCAGTACATTCAGGCTTTCATTCATTACTACATAGGGAATTCACTAATAATTTTTCTATTAAAGTATTTCTTTTCAATTTTAATTTTATTCATTTTTTTTGAGACAGAATCTCACTCTATCTCACAGGCTGGAGTGCAGTGGCACGATCTTGGCTCACTGTAACCTCTACCTCCTGGGTTCAAGTGATTCTCCTGCCTCAACCTCCCAAGTAGCTGGGATTACAGGCGCCCACCACCATGCCCAGCTAATTTTTGTATTTTTAGTAGAGATAAGGTTTCATCACATTGGCCAGGCCAGTCTCAAACTCCTGACCTTAGGTGATCCACCCACCTCAGCCTCCCAAAGTGCGGGGATTACAGGCATGAGCCTGTAATTTATTTATTTATTTATTTATTTATTTATTTATTTATTTATTTATTTATAAGACAGGATCTCAATTTGTCCCCCAGGCTGGTGTGCAGTGGCATAGTCATGACTCACTGTAGCCCCAAACTCCTGGGCTCAAGCAATTCTCCCAACTCAGCCTCCTGAGTAGCTAGAACTACAGGTGTGCACCACCACACCCAACTAATTTCTTATAGAGACAGGGTCTACCTATGTTGCCCAGGTTGGTCTCAAACTCCTGGCCTCAAGCGATCCTCCCGCCTTGACCTCCCAAAGCACTAGGATTACAGACGTGAGCCACCATGCTCGGTCTCGTTTGAATTTAATTAAGAGCCTATTATCATCTAGGTACTGGGCTAGGAGGAATGGAAAATAACAAGATACATATAATTTGATTTCTACTTTAGGAAATATAGAATTTAGAGAGGAGAAAAGACACCCAGGCCAACATAGTACAGGGTTCAATAGAATGCACGTTCAAAGGTTGAGGAGAATAGATTCCTTTTCTCTGGTGAAATGGAGCAGGTGGCATCCAGTGAAGTCTGGAGACTGGGTAGGACTTCTACCACTGCACAAGGCAGCATGGCATTCCAGAGGAAGGGAGAGACGTGGGGAAGAAGAGGGAATGCCACACTCAGGGACAGTTGGCTGGAAAGAGAGATGAGAGCAGGGATGAGAAACCAGTCTGGAAAGGGAAGCTGAGGCACATTTCTGATGGCTTTGAAGTGAAGGGAGACCAACTAGAGGGCTATCATAGCAGTCTAAGTCTGACCATAACTGCTCCCACTAGCATGGGACTCATGAGGAGCCAAAGGAAGGAAGTAGGCACAAGTCGACACAAGTGTGTGCAGCATGGGGGGTATTTGGGAAGTGGAGGAGGCCTGAAATAGCTGCCTGCCTTGGGGCGAGGGCTGGCACAAGGCCACAGAGGGTTAGTGACATTGCTCTTCATGTCCCTTCTCTCTAGCAGGTATGTGGTTGGAGCTTCTGTTGTAAATCTTGCCCTGCGTACTATCTGGAGACAGGGCTTCATTGGAGGACAGCTGCACATCTAATTTTAGGTTCATGCTAGAGAAGTAGGGCAGGTTTAATCTCCACAGGAGGGAGGAGTCATCGTGACACAACACTGGGCATCTGCTCCCACAAAGACATCCCGGAATAACTCTCCCATAGCATGCTAGCATTTGGAGGATGATACGTAGTAGAGCTATCCATGTCCCTTGACATGCTATTTCATCCCCTCCCTGCAAGACCCCCTCGAGCCCACAGGTTCTGTCATCCAAATGGCTTGAGTAGAATTCATCTGGGTATGTCTTAGTTACCATTCATAGGATCGAGTTTGTGAAAGATGGAAATTGGCAGGAAGTTCTCATCTCCAGACTCTTCCCTAGCTTCTGCTGTCTGATCTTGCAGCAGACAACCAGATATCCCACAGTATTTGTACTAATAATGATTAACAATGTCATAGCATGTCAAAGCGCACAATGTCTTTACACATTATTTTTTATTGCCCATGATAAACCTAGGAGGTAAGACTTGACATTCATGCTTTAAGAAATGTCAAAGTTTAGTTAAGAAAAGTTAAATGACTTGCCAAGGAATCTGGTACAAGGAGGCTTACAGAGCAGGTCTTCCAATTTCATTACCTTTGTTCTTATCTTGCTGTTGATGAGTAAGGATAAGATAGAAAACAAGGTAGCTTTGGGAAAGAATTCAAAAGCAGAGGGAATAGATATTTAGCCTTTGAGAGGAAATAGCCATTTGACGGAGGAGTAAAACTGCTCTATCATTAAGCAAATTGTTCCACGGGTATAAGCCATTTAGATGGAAAAGAAATTTAAGCAAACTTTAACTACATATGATTGTCTTACATATGATGGTTGTAGAAATAAAATGCTGGCAATAGACTGTGTAAGATACGCCAGTGGTGGCTTAAGAGCTGAGGCTCATCTGTTAGACAGGGTTTAAATCCCAGCTCTCCCACCTAAAACACAGAGTGTTACTTAACTTCTTTCAGTTTCAATTTATTTTCCAGTAAAATTGGGGGCAATAATAGCACCTGTCTTGCAGAGCAGATGAGAGGCTCAAAGGAGGTAATGCATGCTCAGAGCTTAGCACAGTGCAGGGCACCTAATAAACACCATGCCAATGACAGCTGTATTGTAATGGTTAGTGGAAAAGCCTCTTTCCTACAGAGGTTTGGTTTTAATATGGCATTAGACTGAAGAAGGGGAACCACTTTGCCCAAAATTTACAGAACAAACCAGACATGTAGAAATATGTCTGGGGTCCCTGGAAGGCTCCTTTTGTTATTGGAAGCACCCTACTCCCACTCCATTAATCCCTGGTGTTACTTTCCCACTTGCCTCTGGCACTTTGATCAAATCTGTGCCTGAATTCAACTCCCTTTGCAGGAGGAAAAGAAAGCATTAAAAATGGCAACTAGCATGAGTCTCTGAGGAGGAGGTTTCTGTGCTTTGTTGATTTCTCGCCCCTACCCCACAAGCTTGGCCTGAATGAGGAAGACAATAAAAGCTCTGAGCACCCCAGAAAGGAGAGACCTAGTGCCTTGATACCCATGGTTATATGGGATGAGCTTCCTAGGGGAGCTTTCCAAACAGCATGGTACCCAAGTGGCAAAGAGGAGAAGACTGAGTGAGACCCGCATGTGGATGAGCCCAGCACACATCACAGAGATTTTCACATAATCTGAAGGAAGAAACAAGATATTCCTGACCTTCTGAACAGCTGAATTATGATAGCATCAGATTAGAAGAAGCCTTGTGAATAGGGCAGAAAGATAAAGTTCATAGATTGGTAACCAAAGAACATGTTGAGACTGCAGATGTCAGCAGCAAAGGCCTGCACAGAATGATAAAAATGAGACATATCCAACTCATATATATGTCCAAATGGACATGAGATGATTGAGGACAGTCTGTGTGTTTCCATCAACACCCCGGCACTGCCATGGCTTCTTAGAACTCAGATATACCTCAGGAAGCGGCGGGAGAAGAGTGAAATCCCTGGATGAACCAAAGAATCACTAATTTGAGTTAGATTCCTGATAAGACACTGGTTTATATTTCTTGTTATCTGGCATAAATGTAAATTTAAAACAGAGTGAAGTATAATTATAGAAAATAAATTTTTTGGTCCCTGAGTTTTTTATTTTGAAGTTTTTTACCTACTAGATGAGGGTTCTTAGTAGAATTTAATTGAATTTCACTTTGCAATAAATTCACACCCTAGAGAAGATGCTTTCAAAATGAGAGACGTAGAACACTGATCCCCTCTCCTTCCCCTAAAAAAAGTGATCTCAAAAAAAACAAAAAAAGACAGTTCCCCGACTAAATCAATTTTGGATCAGGGTATACTAAATAACAGATATTCTCAATATGTGTTGGCTTTACAAAGACTCTGAGAAGTCTTACAGTAAAGAAACCAGTATTCAATCCAGTATTTCTCAACTTATTGGATGAGATTTTTTTTTCACTGAGATATAATGTATTTCACTCTAGGAAATGCTTGGTGTAGAGAGCTGCAGGTGAGAATGGATGATAATGGCATAACTGTAGTGACCCAAGAGAAAAATAATCAGGTGGAACATGAGCCTAAGATTTATGCTAGGATGCAGAAAATATCATGGTTGGGCATGGAAATGTTACTCGCCAAATGACCCCATCTATCTTGGAAATTGGCTGAATTTCTTCTAATATTCTTTCAAGGTCCTCGCTGAGTCACTCCCATAAATGATGGATCTTAATGGTCCCGAATATCTCTAAAGCCTTCATGTCTAACCATCTCCCTTTTTAACTTGATGATTCACTCCACTCCAGCAAGCAGAGGCAGGGAGAACAGGCTGAGTTTCATTTTCCAATCATAAAAATACATCTCAAGACTAGCACATGACCATGATGGACTATTATAAGGCCCAGAACTCATGCCAGAAGTTTAACTGGCTGTCTCTTTAGAGACCCTGTCATTTCTGAAATGTCTTTTGAGGATTATATTTATTTATGGTAGAGTTGCTATGAGTAAAATGTATATACCTGAGGGCTTCAGGCAAAAATAACATGAGGTTTTGAGTCTGAAAGATCTGGATTCAAATCTCAACTCTACTATTTCCTAGCACGGTGACCTTGGATAAGGCTCTCGACACATTTTAACCTCCTCGTCTGAAAAACAGAATAATAATATACCCATTCAGGGTTATCATGAGAATTAGAGGAAATGACTCATGGGTGTGGAGGGATGTAAGCTGGGAAGGGATAAAGACATGGTACCATATTTCCAAGGGAGAAATGATCACTAAACTGAGCTGGAAACATCATGAAAATATATGTGGGGCGATCTCCATCTCTCCGTCTGTTACAAAAAGGGCAGAAGTATTACATAGCACTCTGTACCTGATTGTTTGGGTGCGCTTTTGGGTATAAGGAGTAATAACCTTGAAAAGCAGTTCCATGGCTCCGTTAATTCCCAGCATGGCTCCCATGGAGACTAAGAAAGACAAAAGCACAGTAGTTATGGTCACAAATGGATGAGTTAAGGCTCAATACCTCCTTTAAATCTTTAAGGGGCAACCTGATAAACAAGATAGCTCCCTTTCTTTTCTACCCTGGTTGCACGTTCCTCTACAATTTCATACTCGGGTCTCCCACATGACTAAGGTAATGACTTGACTATGCTCCAACTAGAATGTCAATGAAGAATCAGTTCTTCCTGCCCAGCAGTAACTAGACTGGGAAATTTTTGCCTTTTTGGCCAACTGGGTGGTTATAAAAACATTGCCATAGATCTGAATGATAGAAAGAAACTCAAAAGAGGTATCTGGTTAGATAAATACAACTTTTGGATGTTACTCTTGTCTCCAAGGATGCCCCAGCTTCTCTCCAATATTCCCAGGACCCTACTCCACTTAGATCACTTTAGGTAGAGCTCTGCTCATGTCAAAAAATAAGGAGTCCACAGGACACAAAATAGAGCCAGTAAGCAGGAGGACAAAATTTTCAGTGGTACAAGGAAAGAGGGTTATCTTTTAAGGTGTGACTCTTGTCTGTCTTTCCTCCATTGGACTTGTGTTTTTAAGACAAAGGCCTATGAATGCCTCGTGCTTTAGGCTAGCCTTGATCTGAGAAAAGTAGGAACAAGAAATCTTAGAGAAGCAAAGAGAGGGAAACAAGGGTGGCTGACACTGAATTGCTCCAACCCTCAGGAAAGGGAGCTAAATGGAAATCTGAAGACTCCTCATCCCACTACAGTCTTTCAGATAGGGACTGCGACTGATGTCTTTGCTATTGCAGAGTGCATGTTCCTGGAACATCCACTATGCATATGTCCCTCCTGAGGCTAGTACATGAAGTAATTGCCTGGATCAAAATTCAGAGATTTGGCATCCTAGTCCGGTCCATCAATCTTCCACTCTTGTGGCTACTCACTCAGCTCTTGCTTCCGAACTGGGAAAACATACTAGAGAAAACTCTTGGCAAGTAATTCAAAAAAACTCTGGTATTGAGTAAGGGAAGAGTTAATTTTAAAAGCACTGATTCTAACATGGAAGATTTTAGGCTTGAAATTGGAAGAAGATAACAATAAGAAATCCTCACTGAGTTCACTTTTGTGGGTGCCTGTCCGAGGTTAAAGCTCTGGCAGCTCTGTAAACATCCTCATTAGCCATCTGAGAACTTCTGAAGGGTTCATTGGCTCTCACAGACTCAATAGGGTTCCAGCCAACTCCTTCTGAAGATAGGAGCTGTTTAGAAAGCTTTGCTGGAACATTCAACAGTGGCTAATAATTCATGGAAAAGATAGTAATCTACAGGCTTCTTGAACTCTGCTCGCCTCTCATCAGTAAAGTCAATGTATAGAGAGTAACAGTATAATTTTTTTAAATACCTTATGGAACAGTGAGTTGGTATAATCAACAAAGGCTTAGAAGATGAATCAGATAGCCACCTCCTCATACCCACAGGAAAATCCCAGGACTTATCAGAACTCCAGCTGAAGGAATTTTTCTATATCTCCATAACCATTATATTTAAGGAAGGCAAGTTTTTCAGCCTATTTATGCTTTAGGAAACCAGGAAATGCTTCACATTTCAGTCTGCTGGCACACTACAAACATGGGTTGCACACCTTCTGTCTATTCGTTAATGAGAGTTGTCCTTTATACAAAGCCACAGTTCCTCTTTTCCTTTATTAGAGTTGGGTGTATACAAATCTACTCAGCCTTTCCCCAGTGCTCTCTGGTTTTCAGGTCAATATATGGGAGATGGGTGAGTAGAGGCTCTATCTGTGAACAAGGATTCAAGCATCTATCCCGTTATTCCCCCAGAAAGACTTTCTTTTTATGAGTCCTCCATGTTTATTAAGAGAATTTACCAACGAAAATCAAGTTATTGTGGCCGGGCACAGTGGCTCACACCTGTAATCCCAGCACTTTGGGAGGCTGAGGTGGGTGGATCACCTGAGGTCAGGAGTTCAAGACCAGCGTGGCTCTGGCTTTACTAAAAATACAAAAATTAGCCAAGTGTAGTAGTGAACACCTGTAATCCCAGCTACTCAGGAGGCTATAAGGCACAAGAATCATTTGCACCCAGGAGACAGGCTGCAGTGAGCCGAGATCGTGCCACTACATTCTAGCCTGGACAACAGAGAGAGATTGTCTCAAAAAAAAAAAAAAAGAAAAAGAAACAAAAGAAAAAAAAATCAGGCATTTTAGTCATTCTTGGGGTAATTAGAAATAAAAAGTCACCTATTAACTCCCCATATCTGTACTCATTCTACTACTTCAAAAGAGTAAGGGAAAAGTATAGGGCAGGGAAGAGAAACTAGCAATTATCAAGCAGTTGCCATGTGACAAACATGCCCATGAACATTCTCCGATTTACCCCATCTACCAAGTCTATGAGCTCCACTATGGCTAATCGTGTCCACTCTTAAATTCATACGTTAAAGCTCTAATCTTCAGTACCTCAGAGTAGGACTATATCTGGAGATAGGGCCTTTAGAGAGGGAATTACGTTAAAATGAGGCCATTAAGGTGGGCCCTAGACTAATGTGGACTTATGTCCTTATAAAAAGGGGGAATTTGAACACACAAAGAAATATCAAGAAAAAAAGCACACAGTAGTTCACGCCTGTGACCCCAGTACTTTGGGAGGCCGAGGTGGATGGATCACCTGAGATTAGGAGTTCAACACCAGCCTGACCAACATGGTGAAACCCTGTCTCTACTGAAATACAAAAACTAGCCAGGCATGATGGCAGCTCCCTGCGATCCCAGCTACCCGGGAGGCTGAGACAAGAGAATTATCTGAACCTGGGAGGTAGAGATTGCAGTGAGCCAAGGTCACACCAGTGCCTGGGCAACAGAGTGAGACCTCATCTCAAAAAAAAAAAAAAAGTGAGAAAATACATTTCTGTTGTTTAAGTCACATAGACTGTGGTATTTTGTTAAGGCATTAAGGCAGCCCTAGCAGAGTAATAGTAATCATTATTACTACTATGATTTTGTAAAGGATGAAACTGAGATTCAACACGTTAAGTACTCATGCTTCATGACTCATAAGAAATAGAATCACAGTCAAACTCAGGTCTTTTTGGCTCTAAGCCCACGTTCTTTCCTATCGACTATATAACCTTAAATAACTGTCACTTTCATTTCATAGGAAGGGAACTCAGAAAGAAGAAATGAAAGTCTATGCTCATTACATATGAGATAGGAGATATAGGATCTAATGTATTAGTAAAAAGTTTCCATATGGAATAGAATTACCATGAGCTCTGGAGTTAGAAATTCCGCCCTCGTGACTTTTTATCTATATGAATTCAAGCAATTGCTTCACCTTTTTTTTTCTTTTTAAGACAAGGTCACCCAGGCTGGAGTGCAGGCGCACGATCACTGCTCACTGCAGCCTTGACTTCCTGGGTTCAAGTGATTCTCCCACCTCAGCCTTCCAAGTAGCTGGAACTATAGGCACATGCCACCACACCCAGCTATTTTTTGTATTTTTAGTAGAGACCAAGCTGGTCTCAAACTCCTGGGCTCAAGCGATCTGCCCACCTCATCCTCCCAAAGTGCTGAGATTACGGCGTGAGCCACCGTGCCTGGCCCTGCTTTACTCTTTAAAGTTTCTCCTTCTAAGCTGTACAATTACGGGTCTAAATACAAAATTGCTATGATAATTAGAAATAAATCAAATCAGGAGATAGCAAATAAGTATCAGCTGAGCTATAATGTTCCTAATAATTACCTGGAGGACCCTGTTGAGAAGGATCACAGGTTTTTTTAAATCGTAAGGGATGTTGTAATCAATGAGCAATTTCAGGAATATGGTAGGGAGATCTGTGATGCGAGAGTCATTCTACCCAGATACAACACTTCAATGTGACAAGGACTAAATAAAGTCTGCCCTTCTCCTGTCATATCTTTTTTACCTTGTAGTACTCATAGAAAAGCCTAGAATGCTGTAATGTGTGACTATCAAGAAGAAACAATATTGAAGTCCATCTCTAGGAGCAGACTCAAGAGCTCTACCTGGCTAAGGATAAAATGAAGAAATAACTTCTCACCTCCACAGCCTCTGGATTGTCAGTCTCCTTTATTTATCTGGCTGGGACCATCATGTGAATCCCTCACCCATGCTTTTCTTCCAAGCAGACCCTCAAGCAGTTTCCATGTGTCCCAGCCCTGGTTTGGAAGCCATCCCCGAGAGCCACAATAGAGTCACTTACCACTGGAGGCAAACACACGCAGAGCCCAGAGACAGTGAAGGAGGTTCTGGCCATGGGATAAGTTCTTCCTGGCCAGAATCAATGTCACATCAAGTGCTTCCAATTCCAGGGCCTTCCGTCCAATCTTTTTATCTAAGAACACAAATCAATCTATCTTAGCTGCACTTCACATTGATTCTGGATTGTACAATGTGTGGAGTGGAAGAAGGGGAAGATGGTGAAGGAGGAAGATAATCATAGCCAAAGACATTTTTCAAACCTAGTGACAAATGCTGCTAAATATGTACCCACTAGAACCAAATGAATCAAAAGAGCTAATTCAGGCTACACATATTTACGTGGAAGCTTGCGGGTTGAATAACTCTCAAGCCCCTATATTTAGGTTGTCCTCATACATTAACCACAGTTCAAATGGGAATAAAGTTTTTTCTTTAAGACAATTCTAGAATTGAGAATATTTAATATTAATATAATTCTTGATATAACATTCAAATGTAATGTGTCAACTTGTACTGGATCTTGCTTTGAATATGTCTATAAAAGACAGTTGGGAACATTTGGAGAAATTGGAATGAATGTAAATTACGCATGTATTTTTAATTTTATTAGGTTTGTAATAATGGTATTGTGATTATGTAGGGAAATGTCTCTTTTCAAAGAAATGCACTTGAAAGGATTTAGGAAGAAAATGCTACCTGCAATTTCTCTTAAAATATTTCAGATAAAAATAAATAGGTGAAGAAAATATGGCAAAATGTTAACAATGGTTAGAACTAAGTTTTATGTATATAAGAGGCCATCTTTCTATATGAGAGAAAGTTTTCATAATAAAAAGTCAAAACACATTTTTAAGAAAATAAAATTTTCACCTCTAATATTTCTTTGTTTCATTTTTATAATACTTTAATTTCTAGGGTACATGTGCACAACGTGCAGGTTTGTTACATATGTATATGTGTACCGTGTTGGTTTGCTGCACCCATCAACCTGTCATCTACATTAGATATTTCTCCTAATGCTATCCCTCCCCCAGTCCTCCACCCCTTGACAGGCCCTGGTGTGTGATGTTCCCTGCCCTGTGTCCAAGTGATCTCATGGTTCAATTCCCACCTATAAGTGAGAACATGCGGTGTTTGGTTTTCTGTCCTTGTGACAATTTGATAAGAATGATGGTCTCCAGCTTCATCCATGTCCCTGCAAAGGATACGAACTCATCTTTATTATGGTTACATAGTAGTCCATGGTATATATGTGCCACATTTTCTTAATCCAGTCTATCATTGATGGACATTTGGGTTGGTTCCAAGTCTTTGCTGCTGTGAATAGTGCTGCAACAAACATACGTGTGCATGTGTCTTTGTAGTAGCATGATTTATAATCCTTTGGGTATATACTCAGTAATGGGATTGCTGGGTCAAATGGTAATTCTAGTTCTAGATCCTTGAGGAATCACCACACTGTCTTCCACAATGGTTGAACTAATTTACACTCCCACCAACAGTGTAAAAG